ACTGCTATAACAGGGCAATAGGGAAATGCACATTTTCAGAGGTGAGTGTGGCCCCTGTACTGCACATGCTCGGTTTGGCCCCTGTACTGCACATGCTCGGTTTGGCCCCTGTACTGCACATGCTCGGTTTGTCCAGTTTATAAGATCATTTATGTATCTTCAATTCAAGAGATTTAAAAAAAACCCGACCTTCACGTGTAAATAGAAACCCGTATGGTGCTGCCATTGCTGAGCCCATGGGAACATACTGGTGGCCGGCTGATTCTGCCGATCTTTGAGCTCATATGGAAGTGAAATCACAAAAGCCAGGCAATTGGCATTTTATGAAGGAGATGGTCAGCAGTAGTCACCGATATATCTTCCAGCACAGGGTTGACTGATTTTTTTTTTTTTTTTAAAGCTCAACTTAACCTCCGGAAAATGCCACTTGCCTGGTTGTCACCGGCATTTGAATCCCTGGCCTGGCACTCGTTTCCATCGTTGGCACCATTTTATATTTTTTATTTCTACTTCATTTTTTCAGGGATGGTTGGGCTGGTAATCACTTCCCTCAATATTATCTCTGGATTAGAGTTGAGCTGCTAAAGATATATTCGTTTGGAGAAATAATTGGGATGTTCGGGATAAATATTTTTTCATGTATTCAGTGGTTGCCGAAGCATCAATTTATACACTCCGTGTGTTGCAGATACAATGTGAAAAGAGCAAAATCTGTAACATTTTCTAATATTCTGTTCCTTACATATTGTTATATTTGTAAATTCATGGGCCAGCTTTTTTGTATTTAAAAAAATAAAAAAATTCAGGTTCATACATAATATATTTTGCGTTTTTATGTGGCAGCTTTTTTTAAAAAAAAAAAAAAGATTAATTGAATAGCTCAGTTATTTAGATAATTATTTGTACCGTATTTCCATGGTCCAGCTTGTTAATTAATACACTTTTCCGTTTACCTTTTGTAAATCCATGGGCCAGGTTTTATTTTATTTTTTTTCAATAAATATTTCAGTTCCTTACATATTGGTACAATATATGTTCCTATGTATGGACCTGCTTTTTTTGTCAGAATCGGTAAAACAGAATATTTCTGTTCCTTACTTTTTTATTTTTGTATATCCACAGGCAGGCTTTGTGTGTGTACATTATATTGCCCCAAGTATTGGGCCGCCGGCCTTTCCACCCACATGACCTTTAATGGCCCCCTAGTCTTAGTCCGTAGGGTTCAATATTGAGTTGGCCCCGCCCTTTCCACCCACATGACCTTTAATGGCCCCCCAGTCTTAGTCCGTAGGGTTCAATATTGAGTTGGCCCCGCCCTTTCCACGCACATGACCGTTAATGCCCCCCCAGTCTTAGTCCGTAGGATTCAATATTGAGTTGGCCCCGCCCTTTGCAGCTATAACAGCTTCAACTCTTCTGGGAAGGCCGTCCACAAGGTTTAGGAGGGTGTCTATGGGAAGGTTGGACCATTCTTCCAGAAGTACATTTGTCAGGTCAGGCACTGATGTCGGGGGAGGAGGCCTGGCTCGCAGTCTCCGCTCTAATTCATCCCAAAGGTGTTCTATGGGGTTGAGGTCAGGACTCTGTGCAGGACAGTCAAGTTCCTCCACCCCAAACTGGCTCCTTCATGTCTTTATGGACCTTGCTTTGTGCACTGGTGGGCAGTCATGTTGGAACAGGAAGGGGCCATCCCCAAACTCCTCCCACAAAGTTGGGAGCATGAAATTGTCCAAAATGTCACTTAAGAGTTCCCTTCACTGGAACTAGGGGGCCAAGCCCAACCCCTAAAAAGCAACCCCACACCATAACCCCCCCTCCACCAAACTTTACACATGGCACAATGCAGTCGGGCAAGTACCGTTCTCCTGGCAACTGCCAAACCCAGACACGTGCATCGGATTGCCAGACAGAGAAGTGTGATTGATCACGCCAGAGAACACGTCTCCCCTGCTCTAGAGTCCAGTGGCGGCGTGCTTTACACCACGGCATCTTATGCTTTGCATTGCACTTGGTGATGGAAGGCTTGGATGCAGCTGCTCGGCCATGGAAACCCATTCCATGAAGCTCTCTACGCACTGTTGTTGGGCTCATCTGAAGGCCACACCAAGTCTGGAGGTCTTTAGCTATTGACTCTGCAGACAGTTGGCGACTTCTGCGCACTGTGCGCTTCAGCATGCGCTGACCCCCGCCCTGTCATGTGACGTGGCCTACCACTTGGTGGCTGAGTGGCTGTTGTTCCCAGTTGCTTCCACTTTGTTATAATCCCACTAACAGTTGAGCGTGGAATATTTAGTAGCCAGGAAATGTCACGGATGGACTTATTGCCCAGGTGGCCACCTATCACGGGACCCACGCTTGGAGTCACTGAGCTCCTGAGAGCGACCCATTCTTTCTCCAATGTTTGTAGAAGCAGTCTGCATGCCTAGGGGCTTGATTGTATACACCTGTGTCCATGGAGGGGATTGGAACACCTGAATCACATGATTGGGAGGGGATTGGAACGCCTGAATCACATGATTGGGAGGGGATTGGAGCACCTGAATCACATGATATGGAGGGCGGGGCCAATACTTCTGGCAATAGAGTGTATACACGCATTGTTTTCCATTCCTAACCTATTACTATAATTTATATCATGGGCAAGTTTGTAAATAAATATTTCAGTTCCTTATATACTGATAAAATATGTCTGTTTCTTGGGGCCAGCTTTTTTTATTAAAATTAAATATTTCAGTTCCTTATTATATAATTTGTATATCCACTGGCCAGTTTTTTTTTTTTTTTTTTTTGTGTTTAAGTTCCTTACCTATTACTATAATTTTATATCATAGGCACTTTTTTTGTAAATAAATATTTATGTTCCTTACATATTGGTACCATATTTGTTTCTGTGGGCCAGCTTTTGTATTAAAATAAGTATTCCAGTTCCTTATTATAATATTTGTATATCCATGGGGCAGGTGTTTTTTTTGTTCTTTTTTTTTTTTTGGTAAAAAATGACAAAAACTTGAATATTTCTATTCTGACATTTCAATATTTGTCAGTTTATGGGCCAGCTTTCATTGAACAAGAATAATTAAATGTACCGTATTTGCCGGCGTATAAGACGACCCCCTACTTTTCCTGCTAAAATTTAGTGTTTGAGCTATACTCGCCGTATAAGACTACCCCTCTTCCAATGCACACCAGTGGGAGGAATAGTGTCCCATCATTGGTGTCAGTGGGAGGAATAGTGTCCCATCATTGGTGTCAGTGGGAGGAATAGTGCCCCATCATTGGTATCAGTGGGAGGAATAGTGCCCCATCATTGGTGTCAGTGGGAGGAATAGTGCCCCATCATTGGTGTCAGTGGGAGGAATAGTGCCCCATCATTGATGTCAGTGGGAGGAATAGTGCCCCATCATTGGTGTCAGTGGAGGAATAGTGCCCCATCATTGGTGTCAGTGGGAGGAATAGTGCCCCATCATTGGTGTCAGTGGGATGAATGGTGCCCCATCATTGGTATCAGTGGGAGGAATAGTGCCCCATCATTGGTGTCAGTGGGGGGAATAGTGCCCCATCATTGGTATCAGTGGCAGGAATAGTGCCCCATCATTGGTGTCAGTGGGGGGGGAATAGTGCCCCATCGTTGATGTCAGTGGGGGGAGGAATAGTGCCCCATCGTTGGTATCAGTGGCAGGAATAGTGCCCCATCATTGGCATTAGTGGCAGGAATAGTGCCCCATCATTGGTGTCAGTGGGGGGTGGAATAGTGCCCCATCATTGGTGTCAGTGGGGGGGGGGGGGGAATAGTGCCCCATCGTTGATGTCAGTGGGGGGAGGAATAGTGCCCCATCGTTGGTGTCAGTGGGGGGAGGAATAGTGCCCCATCGTTGGTGTCAGTGGGGGGGAGGAATAGTGCCCCATCGTTGGTGTCAGTGGGGGGGAGGAATAGTGCCCCATCGTTGGTGTCAGTGGGAGGAATAGTGCCCCATCGTTGGTGTCAGTGGGAGGAATAGTGCCCCATCATTGGTATCAGTGGGAGGAATAGTGCTCCATCATTGCTATCAGTGACACCAATGATGGGGCACTATTCCTCTCACTGACACTTGCTGACCCTGTTCTCGTATGGTGCTGCTGCAGCCAGCATATGTGGTTGCAGCAGCACCTCTACACTGACCACTTACCTGCTGGTCCTGCACTCGATTTTCGCGGGGCCGCTCGGCTCCACCCCCTCGCCGGTGATTGGCCGCCTGTGTGCCTTTCCTGAGCTACAGTTCTGGCGGCCAATCACTGGTGAGGAGGCGGAGCCGAGCAGCCGCACGAACATCCAGTGGCCAAACTGAAGGCGCAGCCGCGCTTCCTGGACCGGATCGTCGTGGGACCGGAACCAGGTAAGAAACAGCCGCTGCCCACCCCTGTACTTAGTGTCCCTTCCATTGGGGGAAGGGGGGGTGGCGGCGGCGGCAACGCGCCGCCCCCCTAAAAAGTGTCAGTATGCTGTATACCGGCGTATAAGACGACCCCCGACTTTTGAGAAGATTTTCAAGGGGTAAAAAGTCGTCTTATACGCCGGCAAATACGGTATATTTAGTTTCTTATGTATTAGTATTATAGTTGTGTTTCTATGGGCCAGCTATTTTAGTAAAAAAAAAAAAAAAAATGGATTTGATTATTTTAGTTCCTTCTATATTAAATCCGTGTGTACATCCATGGACCAGCCTTTCTGTTCATAACAATTTAATAAAATAAACCCTTTTAAGTTCCTTACAAATTATATAGAAATGTTTGTATATCCATGGGCCAGCTTTTTTTGTAAAATTAAAAAAAAAAAAAAAAAAAAAACCTGTGTGTCACTGGATCAGGTTTTTTCTTTACAATGTAAAAAAAATAATATTTTAGTTAATATTTATCAATGGGCCAGTTTTTTTGTTTACAAAAATTCCAATATTTAAATTTTTTACCTGTATTAATTGAACCCTTTTCTTCCATTTGCAGCTTTTATGTGGCTCTCATAAAAAATGAGGCTCAGGACGCGGAAGGGGTCTCCGCGCAGCAGTCACGGGCCTGCCGGGCGCACTGCTCGTACCAAGAGGAAGCACTCAGAAGAGGAGGAGGAGGAGGAGAGCTCGCCTCTGGGAGACAAGCTGCCCAAATCTGACACCGGTTTACTTTCTACCATAAAAAATTTCATCAAAGGCAGCACAACAAAGGTGAGTAGAAGTGGAATTGTTCAGAATTTGCTGATGTTGCCATGATTTTAACCACCTCCCGTCCGGCCGCTGTTTATAAATGGCCTCCCCGCACCCTGCTTGTGCGTGCTCCCTGGGAGCACGCAGCACCGCGATCCGGTGCCCGCGGTGTCCTCCGATCGTCTTTGGACAGGACCTCTGTGCGAGGTCCCGATCATGTGATCCCTGATTGGCCAATCAGTGATCACATGCAGAGTAGTAAGCAAGATGTCACTTCTGATGACATCGCTTACTACGTGTGAAATCTGTGAATGATCACAGAGATCACATGGTACAGGGCTATTCACAACAGCCTTGTACCATGTGACGAGCTGTGACCAATCACAGCTCACTCAGTAGTTCTCAATGACTGCCAGAATGCAGCCAGAGAGAAGGAAAAATGATTGCTTTTATATCCTTTATGGGTGTAAAAGCAATCGGTGTAAAAAAAAATAAAAATCATCTTCATCTTCACCCCCCACAGGTAGTACAGTGTCACCATGGTGACACTGTACTGATAGGGTGACAGTATGTAAAAAAAATAAATACAAAATATTAAAAAAATTTAAAAAAAAGTTTAAAAAATTATTATTTTTGGTTATAAACTAATTTGGGTTATTTTTTTTTTTTAATTAAAAAGATAACGGAATACATTTTGGCCGAAATTTATGATGAAATATTTATTTGCAAAATTTTGTAAGAAAAACACTTTTTTTCAAAACTTTTTGGACATTTTAATTTACATAGCAAAAAAAATAATCCCAGCGGTGAATAAATACCACCAAAATAAAGCTTTATCTTTCTCAAAAAAAATGCTCAAAAGTTCATATACGTACAGTGTTGCATGATTTGCGCAATTGTCATTCAAAGTGTGATAGCGCTGAAAGCTGAAAATTGGCCTGGACTGGAAGGGGGTGAAAGTGTCCGGACTGGAAGGGGGGGAAAGTGTCTGGACTGGAAGGGGGGGAAAGTGTCTGGACTGGAAGGGGGGGAAAGTGTCTGGACTGGAAGGGGGTGAAAGCGTCCGGACTGGAAGGGGGTGAAAGCGTCCGGACTGGAAGGGGGTGAAAGTGTCCTGGACTGGAAGGGGTGAAAGTGTCTGGACTGGAAGGGGGTGAAAGTGTCTGGACTGGAAGGGGGTGAAAGTGTCTGGACTGGAAGGGGGTGAAAGTGTCTGGTGAAAGTGGGTGTCCGGACTGGAAGGGGGGTGAAAGCGTCCGGACTGGAAGGGGGGGGTGGGGGTGAAAGCGTCCGGACTGGAAGGGGGTGGAAAGCGTCCGGACTGGAAGGGGGGGGGGGAAAGCGTCCGGACTGGAAGGGGGGGGGGAAAGCGTCCGGACTGGAAGGGGGGGGGGGGGAAAGTGTGTCTGGACTGGAAGGGGGGGAAAGTGTCTGGACTGGAAGGGGGGGGGGAAAGTGTCTGGACTGGAAGGGGGGGAAAGTGTCTGGACTGGAAGGGGGGGAAAAAGAGGAAAGCGTCTGGACTGGAAGGGGGGGAAAGCGTCTGGACTGGAAGGGGGGGAAAGCGTCCGGACTGGAAGTGGGGGTTGGGGGGGGGTGGGTGGGGGGGGGGGGGGGAAGCGTCCAGACTGGAGGGGGGTGAAAGCGTCCGGACTGGAAGGGGGGTGAAAGTGTCCGGACTGGAAGGGGGGGTGTGGTGAAAGTGTCCGGACTGGAAAGGGGGGGGTGAAAGGTGGGTTGTCCCGGACTGGAGGGGGGGGTGAAAGTGTCCGGACTGGAAGGGGGGGGAAAGTGTCCGGACCGGAGGGGGCGTCACTGGAAGGGGGGGGAAAACAGCGGTTGGAGTTATTAAAAAATAAAAAACTCCCTCCCTCATTGGTTTTGCCTAAAAGAATTGTCATGACAGATTTTTTTTTATTTTTTTTTTTCTTTAGGAGGATCGTGAGAATCCCCCAAAGAGGAGTCGGGTGGAGCGTGACCTTGACAACAACCTCATCACCTCAACTCCACGTACGGTGAAAAAAACCAAGCAAGCCCATTGCCCGCGTCAGACGGAAAAGTCAAGTCAATGGAGGTTGGTGATTTCTAAACTCATTGATCTGAGCTATTTTAGGAATTTGCACTGAGACAAGGCCATAAATGATTCGATTTTCCTTACCTGCACCCGCGGGTTGCAGCAAAGGTAACCACTTGATTTCAACCATCAACACAGTCAGGAAAAGAAATTTAATCTCCAAACATGGAAAGGTTTCTTCACAGTAAGAGCTGTGAGAATGTGGAATAGACTCCCTCAAGAGTTGGTTGTGGCCAGTAGCTCAGTGGATTGCTGTAGGAAAGTCCTGGATCCTTTCTTGGATACACAGAATATAACTGGATATAACATTTATAGGGAAAGGTGATCCAGGGAATATCCGATTGCCTCTCAGGGGATCAGGGAGGAATTTTTTCCCCTGCAGGAGCAGATTGGATCATGCTTTGCTGTTTTGTCTTGCCTTCCTCTGGATCAACTGTGTGTGTAGGATTATAACTTTTTTTTTTTTTATTAATTTATTTATTTTTTTAAATGGTTGAACTGGATGGACTTTTGTCTTTTTTCAGCCAGATTATTTTATAGACTATGTAATTCCTCCTGCAGTGCAATTGTGTTCTGTTGGGGAAGGCTACAGCCACCGCCGGAGTCGCATGCAAAATATCCAACAGGCTGGTCGTATTTAAGACGATAGATGGATCGAACCTCGGCCGGTCCCTGCTAAACCAGTGGAGATTTGAGCCGGTCCAAATGAACTTTTTTTTTCCATTACGAAGTGATGTGGGTGCTGTACCCTACTCGGCACGCTTTGTCCCCTCATAAAATAGGTGCAGGTACTCCCCAAAACCCCCCCACCCCCGGCCAAAGCACCCTTGTCTCCACCCCCTACTACCTGTGAGCACGTGTCCCTTTGTTTCACCCCCCTCCCCACTTTCCAGTACCGCCCCTTTCAATAAATACAGAACCAAATATCTTTTTGTGGTATGAAGTAATTTTCTATGGAATTAAATTATGACAAAAAACACTAAACTAGATCCCGGTCCAGCAACAATAGACCCCCCCGCAATAAAATTCTACTGCAGCCACAATGGATCCGTCCCAACAACGATAGATCCCCCCCCCATCCCCCTACAATCAAAGACCCTTCATCAGCCAGCAGCCATAGACCTCTCTCTCAATAGTAAATGGCTCCCAGCAACAACTGACCCTCCTCCAAACATAAAAGACCCCCAAAACACAACCCCCCCCCCCCCCAATAAAAATAGACCTGCCAGCAGCAATAAACTCCCTGAAATAAAAATACTACCCCAGCAACAGTAGATTTACAACAACCCCCCCCCCCCCCCCCCCCCCCCCCCCCCCCCCCAAACTAGCAACACTAGACCTTTCCATCAATCGGGATGCCTCCCAGTAACAACTGACCCCTCCTCCCGCCACCGATTTCCCCCCCCAACAACAGTAGACCCCCTGCAATAAAATTCTACTCCAGCAACAATGGATCCGTCCCAGCAACAATAGATCCCCATCCCCCCACAATCAATGACCCTTCATCAACCAGCAACAGTAGGCCTCTCCCTCAACAGTAGATGGCTCCCAGCAACAACTGATTCCCCCCCAAAACATAAGACCCCAAAACAACAACCCCCCAATAAAATCATACCTGCCAGCAGCAATAGACTCCCTGTAATAAAATACTACCCCAGCAACAGTAGATTCTCCAACCCCCCCCCCCTACAATAGTCCTTTCCATCAACCGTGATTCCTCCCAGTAACAACTGACCCCTCCTCCCGCCACCGATTTCCCCCCAAAAAGAATAGACCCCCTGCAATAAAGTTCTACTCCAGCAACAATGGATCCGTCCCAGCAACAATAGATTCCCATCCCCCCACAATCAAAGACCCTTCATCAGCCAGCAGCCATAGACCTCTCCCTCAGCGGTAGATGGCTCCCAGCAACAACCGATCCCCCCCCCCCCAAAACATAAGACCCCTGAAGCAACAATACCCCCCCCCCCCCCCCCCCCCCCCAATAAAAATAGACTCGCGAGCAGCAATAGACTCCCTGAAATAAAATACTACACCATCAACAGTAGATTCTCCAACGACCCCCCCCCCCCCCCCCCCAAACAAAAAACAGCAGACCTTTCCATCAACCGTAATGACCCTTCCTCCCGCCAGCAATTTCCCCCCAACAACATCATTAGACCCCCTGCAATAAAATTCTACTTCAGCAACAATGGATCCGTCCCAGCAACAATAGATCCATAGATCTCCCCCATCCCCCCACAATCAAAGACCTTTCATCAGCCAGCAGCCATATACCACTCCCTCAACAGTAGATGGCTCCCAGCAACAACTGATATCCCCCCAAACATAAGACCCTTGAATCAACAATAACCCCCCAATAAAAATAGACCTGCCAGCAGCAATAGACTCCCTGTAATAAAATACTACCCCAGCAACGGTAGATTCTCCAAACCCCCCCAACAAGCAACAGTAGACCTTTCCATCAATCGTGATGCCTCCCAGTAACAACTGACCCCTCCTCTCGCAACCAATTTCCCCCCAACAACAATAGACCCCCTGCAATAAAATTCTACTCCAGTAACAATGGATCCGTCCCAGCAACAATTGTTTAAAAAAAAAAACCAAAAATCGTAAATGCATTGAAAACCAATTAATCCAATCATGTCCCTGTAAAGTATTTATGCCTTTAAAGTGCACTTTATAAAGCGTTTTGAACAGATAAGATACTTTTTTTTTTTCTCTGATCTCCGAAACGGATTAAATTGGTTTTCAATGCATTCCTATGGGAAACCGCATTTCGGTTTACGAATTTCTCTCGGAATACAAAAAGTCCCGCGGAAATGAGAATATGGTGCAAAAGTTCATTTATTTCAGTGCAGCAACTTAAAAGGTGACACTAATATATGAGACTCATTCCATGCAAAGCAAGATAGTTCCAGCCGTGATTTGTCATCATTGTGATGATTATGGCTTACAGCTCATGAAAACCCCAAATCCACAATCTCAGAAAATGAGAATATTCCATGCAATCAATAAAACACGGATTGTACATAGAACAATATCGGACCTCTGAAAAGTAGAAGCTGCATATGTACTCAGTACTTGGTTTGGGCCCCTTTTGCAGCAATTACTGCCTCAATGCGGCGTGGCATGGAAGCTATCAGCCTGTGGCACTGCTGAGGTGTTATGGAAGACCAGGATGCTTCAATAGCGGCCTTCAGCTCTTCTGCATTGTTCGGTCTCATGTCTCTCATCTTTCTCTTGGCAATGCCCCATAGATTCTCTATGGGGTTCAGGTCAGGCCAGTTTTGCTGGCCAATCAAGCACAGTAATCCCACGGTCATTGAACCAGGTTTTGGTGCTTTTGGCAGTGTGGGCGGAGCCAAGTCCTGCTGGAAAATGAAGTCAGCGTCCCCATAAAGCTGGTCTGCGGAAGGAAGCATGAAGTGCTCCAAAATCTCCTGGTAGACGGCTGCGGTGACCCTGGACTTAATGAAGCACAGTGGACCAACACCAGCAGATGACATGGCTCCCCAAATCAACACAGACTGTGGAAACTTCACACTGGACTTCAAGCATCTTGCAGTGTGTGCCTCTCCATTCTTCCTCCATACTCGGGGTCCTTGGGCCTCTCCATTTCTCCTCCATACTCGGGGTCCTTGGGCCTCTCCATTCTTCCTCTTACTCGGGGTCCTGGGCCTCTCCATTCTTCCTCCATACTCGGGGTCCTTGGGCCTCTCCATTCTTCCTCCATACTCGGGGTCCTTGGGCCTCTCCATTCTTCCTCCATACTCGGGGTCCTTGGGCCTCTCCATTCTTCCTCCATACTCGGGGTCCTTGGGCCTCTCCATTCTTCCTCCATACTCGGGGTCCTTGGGCCTCTCCATTCTTCCTCCATACTCGGGGTCCTTGGGCCTCTCCATTCTTCCTCCATACTCGGGGTCCTTGTGCCTCTACATTCTTCCTCCATACTCGGGGTCCTTGTGCCTCTCCATTCTTCCTCCATACTCGGGGTCCTTGGGCCTCTCCATTCTTCCTCCATACTCGGGGTCCTTGGGCCTCTCCATTCTTCCTCCATACTCGGGGTCCTTGGGCCTCTCCATTCTTCCTCCATACTCGGGGTCCTTGGGCCTCTCCATTCTTCCTCCATACTCGGGGTCCTTGTGCCTCTACATTCTTCCTCCATACTCGGGGTCCTTGGGCCTCTCCATTCTTCCTCCATACTCGGGGTCCTTGGGCCTCTCCATTCTTCCTCCATACTCGGGGTCCTTGGGCCTCTCCATTCTTCCTCCATACTCGGGGGTCCTTGGGCCTCTCCATTCTTCCTCCATACTTGGGGTCCTTGGGCCTCCCATTCTTCCTCCATACTCGGGGGTCCTTGGGCCTCTCCATTCTTCCTCCATACTCGGGGTCCTTGGGCCTCTCCATTCTTCCTCCATACTCGGGGTCCTTGGGCCTCTCCATTCTTCCTCCATACTCGGGGTCCTTGGGCCTCTCCATTCTTCCTCCATACTCGGGGTCCTTGGGCCTCTCCATTCTTCCTCCATACTCGGGGGTCCTTGTGCCTCTACATTCTTCCTCATACTCTGGGTCCTTGTGCCTCTCCATTCTTCCTCCATACTCGGGGTCCCTTGGGCCTCTCCATTCTTCCTCCATACTCGGGGTCCTTGGGCCTCTCCATTCTTCCTCCATACTCGGGGGGTCCTTGGGCCTCTCCATTCTTCCTCCATACTCGGGGTCCTTGGGCCTCTCCATTCTTCCTCCATACTCGGGGTCCTTGGGCCTCTCCATTCTTCCTCCATACTCGGGGGTCCTTGGGCCTCTCCATTCTCTTCCTCCATACTCGGGGTCCTTGGGCTCTCCATTCTTCCTCCATACTCGGGGTCCTTGGGCCTCTCCATTCTTCCTCCATACTCGGGGTCCTTCCTTACTCGGGGTCCTTGGGCCTCTCCATTCTTCCTCCATACTCGGGGTCCTTGGGCCTCTCCATTCTTCCTCCATACTCGGGGTCCTTGGGCCTCTCCATTCTTCCTCCATACTCGGGGTCCTTGGGCCTCTCCATTCTTCCTCCATACTCGGGGTCCTTGGGCCTCTCCATTCTTCCTCCATACTCGGGGTCCTTGGGCCTCTCCATTCTTCCTCCATACTCGGGGTCCTTGGGCTCTCCATTCTTCCTCCATACTCGGGGTCCTTGGGCCTCTCCATTCTTTCCTCCATACTCGGGGTCCTTGGGCCTCTCCATTCTTCCTCCATACTCGGGGTCCTTGGGCCTCTCCATTCTTCCTCCATACTCGGGGGTCCTTGGGCCTCTCCATTCTTCCTCCATACTCGGGGGTCCTTGGGCCTCTCCATTCTTCCTCCATTCTCGGGGTCCTTGGGCCTCTCCATTCTTCCTCCATACTCGGGGTCCTTGGGCCTCTCCATTCTTCCTCCATACTCGGGGTCCTTGGGCATCTCCATTCTTCCTCCATACTTGGGTCCTTGGGCTCTCCATTCTTCCTCCATACTCTGGGTCCTTGGGGCCTCTCCATTCTTCCTCCATACTCGGGGGGTTTTTGGGCCTCTCCATTCTTCCTCCATACTCGGGGTCCTTGGGCCTCTCCATTCTTCCTCCATACTCGGGGTCCTTGGTTTCCAAATGAGATGCAAAAGTTGCTCTCATCAGAAAAGAGGACTTTGGACCACTAAGCAGCAGACCAGGTCTGTTTTTCTTTAGCCCAGGTAAGACGCTTCTGACGTTGTTTGTTGTTCAGGAGCGGCTTGACAAGAGGAATACGACATTTGAAACCCATGTCCAGGATCCGTCTGTGTGGTGGCTCTTGATGCACTGACTCCAGCCTCAGTCCACTCCTTGTGAAAGTCCCCAACACTTTTGAATGGCCTTTTCCTGACAATCCTCCAGGCTGCGGTCATCCCTGCTGCTTGTGTGCACTTTTTCTTCCACACCTTTCCCTTCCACATAACTTTCTATTAATGTGCTTTGATACGGCACTTTGGGAACATCTAACTTCTTCTGCAATTCCCTTTTGAGGCTTTCCCTCCTTATGGAGGGTGTCAGTGATGGTGTCAGGTCAGCAGTCTTTCTCATGATTGTGATTCCTACTGAACCAGACTGAGAGACCATTTAAAGGCTCAGGAACCCTTTGCAGGTGTTATGGCTGAATGAGCTGATTAGAGTGGGACACTTTGAGCCGAGATTATTCCACCTTTTCACAATATTCTCATTTTCTGAGATTGTGGATTTGGGGTTTTCATGAGCTGTAAGCCATAATCATCACAATGATGACAAATCACGGCTGGAACTATCTTGCTTTGCATGGAATGAGTCTCATATATTAGTTTCACCTTTTAAGTTGCTGCACTGAAATAAATCAACTTTTGCACCATATTCAAATTTTTGAGTTTCACCTGTATGTGTATATATATATATATGTGTGTGTGTATATATATATATATATATATATATATATATATATATATATATATATATATATATATATATATATATATATATATATATATATATATAATACACATATACACATACAATACAAACACAAAACACATACAAATACAATACACACACACACACACAATCACCCACACACACACACACACACACATATATATACACACACACACAAATATTACAAAATATATAAAAAAATATGTATTAAATATATTCATCAGATTTTTTAACATATATTTTTTTACATGTGTTTGTAAATGCATTCCAGAAAATGTAGATTAAATATATTTTGAAATATATAGAGTATATTTGAAAATGTATTTTTAAAAATATTTTTCATATATTTTGTAATATATAAAAAATGCATTTCCACATACAGCTGTACTTTGGTTTACGAGCACCTCGGGTTAACATAATTTTTGGTTTACGACTGAAAATCCATTGAAAATAATAGCTCGGTTTGCGAATTTTTATTGCAATACAAATGGATTAATTGGTTTTCAATGCATTTACAAATTTTTTTTTAATCATGTCCCTGTATAGTATTTATGCCTTTTAAAGTACACTTTATAAAGTTTGTTTTTACTTTTTTCTGACCTCCGGAACGGATTAATTGGTTTTCATTCCATTCCTATGGGAAACTGCGTTTCGGTTTACGAATTTCTCGCAATACAAAATTCCTTCAGAGCGCATTGCATTCCTAAAGCCAGGTACACCTGTCATTTTCCTTTGGGAATACTCCCCCTAGCGGTGATAATATGTAACTGCACCAGCTTATAGCATTCCCTTCAAATTAGATCTATATTAGGGTTGCACTGATGCAGTTTTTTTGTCGTCGGGTATCAGTACTCATAGTTACATAGTTAGTCTGGCTGAAAAAATACAAAAGTCCATCCAGTTCAACCATAGGAAAAAAAAAGTTATAATCCTACACCCAGAGTTTGAATACTCTCCAATACCCATTACTGATACCTTTGAGGTGTGATTAGAGCCAATACAAAACAAATGGGCAGCACAATGGCTAAATGGTTAGGTTTTCCGCCTGGCAGTACTTGGGTCGTCGGTAAAAAAAGTAAAAAGTAAAAAATGCAGAGGTGATCGAATACTACCAAGAGAAATTTGTGGGAAAAAGGACATAAATTCCATTTATGTACAGGGTTGCATGACCGTGCAATGGTCGGTTTAAGTAATGCAGTGCTGTATCGCAAAAAATTACCTGGTCAGGAAGGGGGGGAGGGGGGGTAAATCCTCTGGAGGGCAAGTGGTTAAAGTGGAGCTCCACCAAAAAGGGGAAGTTCCACTTCAAGGACTGCTCCCCCGCTCACCATTAAGAATTGGCACCTTTGGGGAGCGGGGGGGGGAGTGGGTACCCGAATTTGACAGATACTCGCTTCCACTTCCGGTCTGATCGCCTAAGAGATCGGAATTGGAAGTTGTCCTCCTACCCTCCCTCCCCAAAGTCTTGTGGGACAAGTGACAGGTCCCAGTAGACTACAGGGCCATTCATGAAGCACAGCGCTACTCGCACATGCTCAGTGGGTACCCGGCTGTGAAGCCGCAAGTTGTCACAGCCGGGTGCCCACACTGAAGATGCCGGCCTCCTGGAATGCAGGACAGCCGGTGAAAACGGGCTGCGGGGGACACCCCTGGACCGAGGGACAGGTAAGTGGCTGTTTTTAAAAGTCAGCAGCTACAGTTTTTGTAGCTGCTGACTTTTATTTTTTGACAGGTGAGTGGAACTCCGCTTAAAAAATAAATAAAAATAAAAAAAAGGTTAAAAAACACCCAAAAATTTAAAAAAATACCACAGTTGTATGTTCTGCGGAAGAGAGTGCGTAGGAAGGGTGAAGGTTCGCTTTAAGATGCAGTTACTTCAGTTGCAAATGTTTTTAATGTATCGAATCAGAAAATGGGACAAATACTCCCCAAAATATAATTTTATCCCACCCAAAAAAAAGCAACTTTAACCTGAACATACCCCTGCGTGTGACCTTTAGAGAGAGTTTCTGTCCTGGGTTTTTGGGCGCCCTTTTTTTTGAGGAAATTGGGGAAACCTCCAGTACTGGGGTGGGGGGACTAGAAAGCACATTAGGATACAGAAATCCTACAAAACAAGAAAGATACCTCAAGTCTACAGAGTTTTTAAAACACATTATATACTAATCCCGCTCTGTTGGTTAGGTTTGATTTTGCATTTTGTTGGTGTTTTTGGTGTCCTATACTGACTGTCCCTGATATTTCTTCACCATTTAGAAGCAGCAAGCTATGAGCTGACACCTCAACATGTGAAACAGAATGGAAAGCTGGAAGATGTGCCTCCAACAGGCAGCCCACCCAGGACCACACTGCTGGGGACCATTTTCTCTCCGGTCTTCAACTTCTTCTCACCAGCAAATAAAAATGGTGCGTTGCCGAGAGAAAAAAAAAAAAGCATTCGGTTTTCCCTGCCTTTTTTTTTTTTTTTTTTCTTTCTTTTTTTCTTTTTCTTTTTCTTTCTTTTTTTTTCTTTTTTTTTTTTTTTTTTTTTTTTTCTTTTTCTTTTTTTTTTTTTTTTTTTTCTTTTTTCTTTTTTTTTTTTCTTTTCTTTTTTTCTTTTTTCTTTTTTTTTTTCTTTTTTCTTTTTTTTCTTTCTTTTTTCTTTTTTTTTCTTTTTTTTTTCTTTCTTTTTTCTTTTCTTTTTTCCTTTTTTTTCCTTTTTTTTTTTTTTTTCTTTTTCTTTTCCTTTTTTCTTTTTCTTTTTTTTTCTTTTTCCCTTTTTTTTTTTTCTTTCTTTTTTCCTTTTTTTCTTTTTTCTTCTTTTTCTTTTTTTTTTTTTTTCTTTTTTTTTTTCTTTTCCTTTTTTTTCTTTTTTTTTTTTTTTTTTTTCTTCCTTTTTTTCTTTTTTTTCTTTTTTCTTTTTTTTTTTTTTCTTTTCTTCTTTCTTTTCTTTTTTTTCTTTTTTTTCTTTTCTTTTTTCTTTTTTCTTTTTCTTTTCTTTTTCTTTTTTTTTTTCTTTTTTTTTTTTTTTTTTTTTTTTTTTTTCTTTTTTTTTTCTTTTTTTTTCTTTCTTTTTCTTTTTTTTTTTTTTTTTTCTTTCTTCTTTTTCTTTCTTCTTTCTTTTTTCTTTTTCTCTTCTTTTTTTCTTTTTCTTTTTTTTCTTTCTTTTTCCTTTTTTCTGTTCTTTTTTTCTTTCCTTTTTTCTTTTCTTTTTTTCCTTTTTTGTCTTTTTTTTTTGTTTTTAGTAAATATGTTTTCGTTCAATCTTTTCTAGATTTACCTTTTTTTTGAATTTTAACCTTCTGTACCAGCACAGGGACAGTTTTGCAATTGTTTTTTACTTTTCTTGTACTTTTGCCCAATTGTTTGTTCTTTATAGCTGTGGTATTACAGGGCACTGATACTGTTTCTCAGGTTAGCAACCTTGTTGATCTTTATTTTTTTTGTATAATATTTTCCCCATTCATCTTCCAAGATAACAATCAGAGGCAAGGTTCCCCCATATCTGAAACTGGAAACACAAACCACAAGTGCTTATTTAAAAAAAAAAAAAAGTCCCTCCAGGAAGACGCCGTCCAATATTTGGGGTTTCCCATCTCAACGGCATTTAACTGTTACTAAACTAATTTTTTTTTTTTTTTTAAATTAAAATACTAAAGGTGTTCTACTTACCTGTTCTGTGGTGTTGCACAGAGTGGATCCGATCCTCCTCCTTCTTGGGTCCCTCGCTGGCGATCTTGGCTCCTCCTCTTCTTCATGTTTCCCCATAGCAAAAAAGACCGACAATTTTGAGAAAAAACAATATTTTTTACTTTTTGCTATTAAACACGCCCAGTAAATAAATAAAAAAGAAAAAAAAATTTCGTCATAAATTTTGGCCAATATGTATTCTGATCCATGTCTTTGCTAAAAAAAAAAAAAAAAAAAAAAATCCCAATTCGTGTTAATTAATTGGTTTACGTAAAAGTTGTAGCGTTTACAAATGGCAGTATATATACTGGGATTTTTCATTTTTACTAATAATGGTGGCGGACTGCGGAGGGCATTCTGACATGGGGGGGGGGGGGGGGGGGGGGACCGACTTGCTGTCACTGACATCCCCAGTGACACCAATACAGTGATCAGTGCTAATAAAAAGCACTGACACAGTATGGCACTGGGCAGGAAGGGGTTAACATGAGGTGCGATCAAAGGGTTAACTTTGTGCCGTTTTACATGATGTTCTGTGTTAAGCCGGCCATACACGGGTCGAATTCTGAAATAATTTTTCTTTGAAAATCTTTTTTGAAGAATGTTAGTCGGGATATCTTTTTCGCGTGGGAAAGAGTTTTCGTGGGGAAATCTTTTTCGCAGAGTTTTCGTGGGGAAATCTTTTTCGCAGAGTTTTCGTGGGGAAATCTTTTTCGCAGAGAAATCTTTTTTTTCGTGGGGAAATCTTTTTCGCGGAGTTTTCGTGGGGAAATCTTTTTCGCGGAAATCTTTTTTTCGTGGGGAAATCTTTTTTTCGCGGAGTTTTTCGTGGGGAAATCTTTTTCGCGGAGTTTTCGTGGGGAAATCTTTTTCGCGGAGTTTTCGTGGGGAAATCTTTTTCGCGGAGTTTTCGTGGGGAAATCTTTTTCGCGGAGTTTTCGTGGGGAAATCTTTTTCGCGGAGTTTTCGTGGGGAAATCTTTTTCGCGGAGTTTTCGTGGGGAAATCTTTTTCGCGGAGTTTTCGTGGGGAAATCTTTTTCGCGGAGTTTTCGTGGGGAAATCTTTTTCGCGGAGTTTTCGTGGGGAAATCTTTTTCGCGGAGTTTTCGTGGGGAAATCTTTTTCGCGGAGTTTTCGTGGGGAAATCTTTTTCGCGGAGTTTTCGTGGGAAATCTTTTTCGCGGAGTTTTCGTGGGGAAATCTTTTTCGCGGAGTTTTCGTGGGGAAAATCTTTTTCGCGGAGTTTTCGTGGGGTTTTCGTTTTCGGGGAAATCTTTTTCGCGGAGTTTTCGTGGGGAAATCTTTTTCGCGGAGTTTTCGTGGGGAAATCTTTTTCGCGGAGTTTTCGTGGGGAAATCTTTTTCGCGGAGTTTTCGTGGGGAAATCTTTTTCGCGGAGTTTTCGCGTTTTGGGGAAATCTTTTTCGCGGAGTTTTCGTGGGGAAATCTTTTTCGCGGAGTTTTCGGAGTGGGGAAATCTTTTTCGCGGAGTTTTCGTGGGGAAATCTTTTTCGCAGAGTTTCGTTCGAATTTCGAACCATTAGTGGGTCATAAACGGACAATTTTCGTGCGACCATCGAATTTGAGTGATTGGGCATGTTGGAAATTAAAAAAAAAAATGAACAAATTTCGAATCGACGATGGGAGAATCGTGCGAGAAATATAAAGCTGTGGCCTGGAAAGAAAAGAAAATTCTTTGCCACGAGAAATTGAAGGCTTGGTGGGTTGGATTTCGAAATCAATGGTGGCGCCATCGGGTTACAAAAAGCACAATATTTTTGATTTTATAAAGAAAATTTGTTCGGAATTTTGACCCGTGTATGGCTTGCATTAGTGCTTCACTGTATGCACACTGCTTTGTATGGCTGTGCTGTTCAGAGCCATGCAAAGCAGTGTGCAGGAGCTGATGGGGGAGGACTGTTTTGTTTACTTACAGCTCTCTCCCTCCTTCGGTAATGCTCCTCGATCACCGTCAGGGACCCGGTGATTGACAGCTGAGGCCGCGAGTAGCGACACGTGTAGGGGGTGTTCCCTAGCCGGACATGCAAAATCACATATATATACACCTGATGTTGCTCGCCCTATAGGGCAGATGGGAAGCAGTTAGTGGTTTTAAAGGCTCCATTTTATTTTATTTTTTTCCAAAAACAGATTTATACCGACTTGCTCTGTGCAGTGGTATTGCAAAGGGTGGCCCCCCCCAGCCACCTCCTCTGGGGTCCCCCGCAGGTGATTTCTGCTCCTCTTCTGTGTCTACCGCTAGCTATGAAGGAAGTCATGCAAGTTCGATCCCGAGCCGGGCTGTTTGTGTCCATAGACACAAACAGTGCAGCTTACCCCCGCCCCTTTCTCGATTTGATTGACGGCAGCAGAAGCCAATGGCCTCAGTTATTAACAATCTGCCCCATGAGACCAGGAAGAGAGAAGGTCCCCCATTGGAGATCCTCGGCAATCACCGGCTGGGATGCATGAGCGCCCCCTACCCTGAAATATTCATGATTTTGCGCACCGCTGGCGCAGTATTTCTGCGATGGGGCGGAGCTAAAACATTTAACAGTTGCAGGAAAGGCATCAATTAGAGGCAGATTATAGCCGGCATATTAGGTGCTGCTACCTGTCAGGACTTTTCTTCGCTCCTGTGGCTTTTGTTTCCTGTTTCTGGTAGAATTGACTTTCCCTCCACTTGCCTTCTGGATATTAAGAACTGATTTTTCCCTTGGCTGTAGGCACGTCGGGATCTGACTCCCCAGGACAAGCGGTAGAAGCCGAGGAAATCGTGAAACAGCTGGAAATGGAGCAGGTGGATGAAATCAGCACCAGCACCACCACCTCCACCAATGGAGCATCCTACACCAATCAGGGCACGCCTGTCCGAACAACAGCCAGCAGCTGGCTCGAGTCGGGGGAGGACACTCCGGAGCGAGACATCCCGACACTAACGGGTGAGTGGTACCTGCGTGCAATCAAATTGACGCGGTGAAGAGGTGACGACTAGGCTAGCCTCCGGGGATAAACCAATCACACGTTCCGGAAGTTTCAGGCCAATTCACACCGACGTGCGCTAAAATGTATGGGGAATGGATGTACGTTTCCATCCAATTTAGTTGCATCCTGACATCTGTTGATAAACATTTTGACGTCCGTTGATCTGCATTGTAGCATGCGTTGAACCATATACTGCACTTTCACATTTTAACATCCACCCGCATCGGCAGCGCTCCCGTCCGGACGTCTATCGACGGGGGCGCTGCCGATGCGGGTGGATGTTTCTAAACATCCCCTCGCATCCACTGCCTGTGCGCGCTCGGCACCGCGATCGGTGCCCACTGTGTCGGTGATGCTGTGCGGGACCTCTGTGCGAGGTCCCGATCATGTGATCACTGATTGGCCAATCAGTGATCACGTGCAGAGTAGTAAGCAAGATGTCACTTCTGACATCATTGCTTACTACATGTGAAATCTGTGAATGATCACAGAGGTCACATGGTACAGGACTATTCACAACAGCCTTGTACCATGTGACAAGCTGTGACCAATCACAGCTCTCACAGTATTTCTCAATGGCTGCATGAAGTGATTGTAGCCATATTAGTGCATTTGCGACAGAAACAATTGAGTACGGACGTGATATTTTTTTTTTCGTTCGTATGAACATACAATTTTCAGGACAAGCTTTCAGGTATTTCCCCTTCTTCATGGTCCAAGCACTACTCCTTGAGTACTGCTTGCACCTTGAAGAAGGGACATACCCCGAAAGTTTGTCCTGAAAATTGTATGTTAGTGCAAATTAAAAAAAAAAAAATATCACGGACAGTACTCAATTGTTTCAATGGCTAAGAGAGAAGGTGAAATGTATTTATTATTTATTTCAGGTACTTGTATAGCGCCGTCAATGTATATATTGTGCATTCACATCAGTCCCCGCCCCCAAGGAGCGTACAATCTAAGGTCCCTAACTCACATTACATACACATACTAGGGACAATTTAGACAGGAGCCAATTAACTTACCAGCATGTCTTTGGAGTGTGTGGGAGGAAACCGGAGTACCCGGAGGAAACCCACGCAGGCACAGGGAGAACATGCAAACTCCAGGCAGGTGGTGCTGTGGTTGGGATTTGAACCGGCGACCCGAGTACTGCCAGGCGGAAGTGCTAACCATTTAGCCACTGATTGCTTTTACAGTGTAAAAAAAAGAAAAAAAAAATCATCACCCCCCACAAGTGTCACTATGGTGACAAAAAAAAAATAAATTAGTTTCATAACCAAAAATTATAATTAAATTTTTTTTACTTTTTTTTTTATTTTTTATATTTGTTTGTTTTTTTTTTTTTTTTTTAAATACTGTCACTCTAGCAGTACAGTGTCACCATAGAGTGATAGTATGTTAAAAAAAAAAATATAAAAAGAAAATATACACGTTAAAATTTTTTTTTTAAAAAATTATAATTTTTGGTTATAAACTAATTTGGGTTATTTTTCTTTTGTCACCATAAGTGACAATTTAAAAAAAAAAATTTGTATGGTTTTATTTTGTTTTTATATTTGTGGGCTCGGGGGTTTTTTTTTCAACATACTGTCACTCTATGGTGACACTGTACTGCTAGAGTGACAATATTTTAAAAAAACAAACTTAATATAAAAAAAATAAAAATGTAACAAAAATATTTGAAAAATAATAATTTTGGGTTATAAACTAATTTTGGATTATTTATTTATTACTAAAAAGATAGATGAATACATTTTGTATGAAGAAAGATTATTTATTTTATAAGAAAAACATGACCCGCGCAATTGTCATTCAAAGTGTGATAGCGCTGAAAGCTGAAAATTGGCCTGTCCGGACTGGAAGGGGGGGAAAAGTGTCCGGACTGGAAGGGGGTGAAAGTGTCCGGACTGGAAGGGGGGGGGAAAAGTGTCCGGACTGGAAGGGGGGGAAAGTGTCCGGACTGGAAGGGGGGGGAAAGTGTCCGGACTGGAAGGGGGGGAAAGTGTCCGGACTGGAAGGGGGGGGGAAAGTGTCCGGACTGGAAGGGGGGGGGAAAGTGGCCGGACTGGAAGGGGGGGGGGGAAGTGGCCGGACTGGAAGGGGGGGGGGGGGGAAGGGGGGGGGGGGGGAAGTGTCGGACTGGAATGGGGGGGGGGGGGGAAAGTGTCCGGACTGGAAGGGGGGGGGGGGGGGGAAAGTGTCCGGACTGGAAGGGGGGGGGGGGGAAAGTGTCCGGACTGGAGGGGGGGGGGGGGGAAAGTGTCCGGACTGGAAGGGGGGGGGGAAAGTGTCCGGACTGGAAGGGGGGGGGAGGGGAGGGGAGGGGGGGGGGGGAAAGTGTCCGGACTGGAAGGGGGGGGGGGGAAAGTGTCCGGACTGGAAGGGGGGGGGGGGAAAGTGTCGGACTGGAAGGGGGGTGGACTGGGGGGGGGGGGGAAAGTGTCGGACTGGAAGGGGGGGGGGGGGGGAGTGTCTGGGGAAAGCGTCCGGACTGGAAGGGGGGGGGAAAGCGTCGGACTGGAAGGGAAGGGGGGGGGGGGGGAAAGCGTCCGGACTGGAAGGGGGGTGAAAAATTTGAATGGAATTATATATATAAAAATTAAAAAAAACTGTCCGTTTCATTTTTCAGCCAAATGCGTCCTGACTGGAATTTTCAGTTTCGGTGGACCACTGGACTAGTAATCCTGGAAGGGGGGGGGTGGAAAGTGTCTGGACTGGAAGGGGGGGGGGGGGAAAGCGTTCTGGACTGGAAGGGGGGGGGGGGAAAGCGTCTGGACTGGCAAGGGGGGGGGGAAAGCGTCTGGACTGGGAAGGGGGGGGGGGGGGAAAGCGTCCGGACTGGCAAGGGGGCGGGGGGGGGGGGGGGGGAAAGCGTCCGGACTGGAATGGGGGGGGGGGGAACGCTTTAGCGTCCGGACTGGAAGGGGGGGGGGGGGAAAGAAAGGGGGGGTGATTGGTCCTGAATATAAAAATTAAAAAAAAACTGTCGTTTCATTTTTCAAATGCGTTTCTTTTTAGCTCGAAGAGGTGATGTATCTTTCTGTTTTAGCTCCGGTATCCAGTAGTGGTTACTCTTCTGCACACGCTGAAGCCGCCTATGAGGAGGATTGGGAAGTCTTTGATCCGTGAGTAGTTTTTGAACTTTTTTTTTTTTTTTTTTTTGATGTTTCACTTATCGTTAATCCTCAGATCACACTATGAATCTGGGAATCGCAGAGGAACCGCACCGCATTCCTCTTCAATTTACTTGTGACTCAGTGCGGTGTGATTTGAGCCCATTCATTTCAAATGGGCTCAAATCGCACCAAAGTCGTGCATCCAACAGTTTTTTTTTTCAACCGCGCTGCATCCAGATCACATGGTACTTTTGTAACGTGAGTTCCTGTACCAGCAAACGCACTGCATTTGGGGTATCGTTAAAGTGTTACTGAACCCCCAACAGTACAATCACTGTAGATGCAGTAGAGCATGCTTGTTATACTCAGTGTGGGACCTAAGGGGTTAATCTTCTGCATTGTGTAAAATTGTTTTATCCTGTCTTCTCTGATCCTCCCCTTCTACTTACTGTCCCCAATCCGTCTGCTGATAGTACAGAGCTCTAGGAGTCACTCTACACATGCTCAGTTTAGTGTGCAACGTAAAAAGGCATGGACGTCCATGGAAGACAACAGTGGTGGGTGATCACAGGATCCTCTCTATGGTAAAGAAATACCCAATCACAACATCCAGACAAGTGAAGGACACTCTCCAGGAGGTGGGCGTATCATTGTCAAAGTCTACAATCAAGAGAAGACTTCACGAGAGCAAATACAGAGGGTTCACCACAAGGTGCAAACCATTCATAAACCTGAAGAATAGAAAAGTCAGATTAGACTTTGCCAAAAAACATCTAAAAAAGCCGGACCAGTTCTGGAAAAGCATTCTTTGGACGGATGAAACTAAGATGAATCTGTACCAGAATGACGGGAAGAAGAAAGTGTGGAGAAGGCTTGGAACAGCTCATGATCCAAAGCACACACCGTCATCTGTAAAACATGGCGGAGGCGGTGTGATGGGCGGAGGCGGTGTGATGGGCGGAGGCGGTGTGATGGGCGGAGGCGGTGTGATGGGCGGAGGCGGTGTGATGGGCGGAGGCGGGTGTGATGGGCGGAGGCGGGTGTGATGGGCGGAGGCGGTGTTTGTGATGGGCGGAGGCGGGTGTGATGGGCGGAGGCGGTGTGATGGGCGGAGGCGGTGTGATGGGCGGAGGCGGTGTGATGGGCGGAGGCGGTGTGATGGGCATGGGCGGAGGCGGTGTGATGGGCATGCACGGCCCCCAGTAGCACTGGGTCAATGGTGGTTATTGATGATGTGACAGAAGACAGAAGCAGCCAGATGAGTTCTGCAGTGTTTACAGATATACTGTCAGCCCAGATTCAACCAAATGCAGCAAAGCAATCTGTACCAGAATGACGGGAAGAAAAATGTGGAGAAGGCTTGGAACGGTTCATGAACCAAAGCACACCACGTCATCTGTAAACCATGGTGGAGGCAGTGTGATGGCACGGACATGCATGGCTTCCAGTGGTACTGGGTCATTGGTGGTTATTGATGATGTGAGCAAAGGTGATTGGATGGCACTTCACAGTACAGATGGACAATGATCCAAAACACACTGCAAAAACAACCCAGGAGCTTTTGAAGAAAAAGAAGTGGAATATTCTACAATGGCCAAGTCAATCACCTGATCTCAACCCAAATGAGCATTCATTTCATTGCTGAAGGCAAAACTAAAGGCAGAAAGACCCACAAACAAAGAACAACTGAAGATGGCTGCAGTCAGAGCCTGGCAAAGCATCAGAAAGGAGGAAACCCAGTCTTTGGTCGTGTCCATGGGTTCCAGACTTCAGGCAGTCATTGCCAGTAATGGATTCTCAACAAAATATTACAAATTAACATTTTATTTATGATTATATTTATTTGTCCAATTACATATGAGCCGCTGAAATTGGAAGAACTGTTAATAAAAATGGTTGCAGTTCATAAAAATTCTACTTGATATTTATGTTCAACTCCTTGAATTAAAGCTGAAAGTCAGCAATTCTTGGTATTCTTGGGGTCATAGGCAGCATTCCTCCTCCTCCAAACACGGCGAGTTGAGTTGATGCCAAAGAGCTGGATTTTGGTCTCATCTGACCACAACACTTCCCACCAGTCCTCCTCGGCATCATTCAGATGTTCAGTGGCAGACTTCAGACGGGCCTGGACATGTGCTTTCTTGAGCAGAGGGACCTTGCGGGCACTGCAGGATTTCAGTCCTTGTCGGCGTAGTGTGTTACCAATTGTTTTCTTGGTGACTGTGGTCCCAGCTGCCTGGAGATCATTGACAAGATCCTCACGTGTAGTTCTGGGATGATTCCTCACTGTTCTCATGATCATTGACACTCCACGAGGTGAGATCTTGCATGGTGCACCAGACCTAGGGAGACTGACACTTGTTTTGTGTTTCTTCCATTTGTGAATGATCGCACCAACTGTTGTCACCTTCTCACCAAGCTGCTTGTCCATTGTTTGGTAGCCCAGTCCAGCCTTGTGTAGGTTCTACCATCTTGTCCCTGACATCCTTGGACAGCTCTTTGGTCTTTGCCATGGTGGAGAGTTTGGAATCTGATAGTTTGATGGCTCCTGTGGACAGGTGTCTTTTATACAGGTAACACAATGAGATTAGCAGCACTCCCTTTAAGAGACTGCTTCTAATCTCAGCTTGTTACCTGTATGAAAGACACCTGGGAGCCAGAAATCCTGCTGAATGATAGGGGATCAAATCCTTCTTTCCCTCATGAACATGCAGATCAGTCATCATTTGTTAGACGCATTTCTGCTGAATTTGTTGTTGTATTCTGTCTCTCAGTGTTACACGAACATTCCATTGTTAGACCGATCGTTTCTGTGTGAGGGGGCGAACATTCCATTGTTAGACCGATCATTTCTGTGTGAGGGGCGAACATTCAGCATCAGCCGGGGAGCAAATACACATTTCCTTCACTGTATACTGGACTGACTTGTTCCTGAATTTTGCCTTTGTTTGGTGTCCCTGCTTTGACTAGAACTACGTAACCTATAAACAAATTGCTGCTTTAGGGTAGTTACTATGAGGTATGATGTTAGTAACCTTTATGTTCTCAGAAGCACCTAGGACAGTTTATTTCTCATCTAGTACAAAGCTGGAGTGGTCCCCATTATATTGTGAGTATCGTATCTAACCACGTTCCAGATTACCTTGTGGTTGGTAAGGATTTCTTAATCTCTGTAATAGTTTTTTTTTGTTTTTTTTGTTGTTTTTTTTTGCTGGTACCATAACTTTGATTACTTGCTGACTATGTTTGGGTGTAGCAGTCCTGTTAAATGGGAGGCATACCGGCTCTAGCTGTACTCTGCCTCCCAACAGAACCAACAGATACCCATTGAGCTGCCCATTTGCTTAACAATTTTGTTCACATCATTGGAGCTTCCATCCTCCGCAGTCTTCCAGCCACAATTCTATTGGTTTCCCAGTTGTGAGTGATTAGACGATGAAAATTGCGATGGGATTGATGGGAAGTATTGAAGTCGCACTCAAAAGGCATTTTATGCTGACTTCAACTTCAGTTTTAGCCGTTTTGAAATTGAGGAAACTATAGGTGGTTGATTGTAGAGGTTGAAAACTAATGGAAAATCTTAAAAAGTAGCAGATTAACGGCAACCGTCAAAGTAACCTATTGCTTTACGAGGGCAGTGAGCAATATATGATTGACACGCGGTCAGGCTCGCCGCTGGCTATCCCCGCTTCAGTCGATCCTGAATACGGCTGCCAGACTCATTCACCTTTCCAACCGCTCCATCTCCGCCACCCCCCTCTGCTAATCCCTCCACTGACCTCCACTCAGTGTCCTCCACCCCCTCTGCCAATCCCTCCACTGGCCTCCACCCCCCTCTGCCAATCCCTCCACTGGCCTCCACTCAGTGTCCTCCACCCCCCTCTGCCAATCCCTCCACTGGCCTCCACCCCTCTCTGCCAATCCCTCCACTGGCCTCCACCCCTCTCTGCCAATCCCTCCACTGGCCTCCACCCCTCTCTGCCAATCCCTCCACTGGCCTCTCAGTGTCCTCCCCTCTCTGCCAATCCCTCCACTGGCCTCCACTCAGTGTCCTCCACCCCCCTCTGCCAATCCCCTCCCTGGCCTCCACTCAGTGTCCTCCACCCCCCTCTGCCAATCCCTCCACTGGCCTCCACTCAGTGTCCTCCACCCCCCTCTGCCAATCCCTCCACTCAGTGTCCTCCACCCCCCTCTGCCAATCCCTCCACTGGCCTCCACTCAGTGTCCTCCACCCCCCTCTGCCAATCCCTCCAGTCAGTGTCCTCCACCCCCCCTCTGCCAATCCCTCCACTCAGTGTCCTCCACCCCCCTCTGCCAATCCCTCCACTCAGTGTCCTCCACCCCCCTCTGCCAATCCCTCCACTCAGTGTCCTCCACCCCCCTCTGCCAATCCCTCCACTCAGTGTCCTCCACCCCCCTCTGCCAATCCCTCCACTCAGTGTCCTCCACCCCCCTCTGCCAATCCCTCCACTCAGTGTCCTCCACCCCCCTCTGCCAATCCCTCCACTGGCTTCCGATTGCGCAACGGATCAAATTCAAAATCCTAACACTGACATACAAAGCCGTCCACCATACTGCCCCGAACTACATCACTGACCTAATATCCAAGTACCGCCCCAACACGCACACTCCGCTCCTCACAAGACCTCCTTCTCTCTAGTTCCCTGGTCTCCTCCTCACATGGCCGCCTCCAGGACTTCTCCAGGGTGTCACCCATCCTCTGGAACTCCCTGCCCCAACCCATCAGATTATCACCTACTCTCCTCTCCTTTAGGCGCACCCTGAAAACCCACCTCTTCAGGGAAGCCTACCCCACCCCCTGCTAACTTGCCGACCTCCTCCACTCTTCCTACCACTCCATCCCCCACAGCTATCTCCTCCTGTACCACCATCCCCTCTCCTCCTAGATTGTAAGCTCCAAGGAGCAGGGCCCTCGATCCCCTCATGTATTGCATTGTATTGGTATTGTTCTGTCACATGTTCTGTCCCCCTTTGTAACGTACAGCGCT